GGCCAAGGGTTACCAGAACAACCGGCAGCACCAGAACCGCGGCCGGAGCCGCAGCCGGCGGCCAGAGACGAGCGACAAGCCGTTCATGTTCCAGAAGAAGACGCCCAGCGGGGCCGATATCTGCGTGTTCTACAACAAGGCTGCGGGGTGCAAGGACCCCAAGTGCAAGCGGGAACACACCTGCAACTACCCGGGTTGCCACAAGCGGCACACCCGCTGCGACAACCACCCCACCCACCCGCCGAAGCGGAACTGAGCGGGGCTGCCATGCAGCCCGGGGCCCGCGGCAACGTGCCAAGTGGTGCGGAGGTACCCCGGGGCCGGGCGAGAGCAGGCAGCGAGTGACGCTACCCAGGGGGAGTCGAACCCAGGGAAGCAGACAGCTGATTGCTCTCATGGCAGCAGTGGTATCGCTGACTCAGACACTGGCGGCGCGGCAACGACAGTGCCGTCGCGCGGCCGGGACCCAGCCAGGCTGGCCCGCGTGGCTGCCGCGGGCGACCAACCGACGGGGCAGGTGCGGCTGCCCCTAGTCCCCGGCGGGGCGGGGCCGCAGCAGTTTCTTGCTGACATGACCCGGGTGAAGCACCCGCTGGAGGCGCCGCCTCCCCTGCCGCAGCGCCTGGCGAACGCGATGGAGTTCATCGCTGAGATCATGGCCCTCCGGGAGAGCATCATGCAGGACATCCGGCAGCTCGCCCGGGACCTCGAGGAACGGCCCGCCAGGGCACCGACGGGAAAACGAAACTAAAGGGAAGGGAGGGCATGAGCACTACGAAGGGAGGAGACAATGGAACGGCAACGCCCACAGGGCGGAAGGGAAAAAGGGGGAAGTGTGTGTGTGTGTGTGTGTGTGTGTGTGTGTGTGTGTGTGTGTGTGTGTGTGTGTGTGTGTGTGTGTGTGTGTGTTTTTCTCTTACACACACGTGCACATTATATATACACACAAATGCAGGCGAGCAGCCGCAACAACCAAACGCCCGCTGTCCCTCTACCTTCAGGTGCCTCAAAGGGCACACCGCCGTTTTCCGTCCCCCCTCGTAGGGCAATGCCGCCCCACCCCCCCCTCCCCCTTCCTGTATGCCAGGGGGGTTTATGAATTCGCCACCTCCGCCCGTCCCCCTTCGCCGCGCCCCCCCCCAGACGGTTCGGGCGCTCTGGCGGCGTGGTCCCTGGACGCAGGGAACGCAGTTGTCCGGGGGGCAAGGGGCGCGAGGGAAAAGGAAGCAGGAGGGGGGGGGGGGACGACGACGGGGTGGCGATAACGACGGCGGCGAAGGCGACGACGATCAGGGAGCCGACCGCCGGCCTCCAGCACGCCCTCCCGGGAAGGGCGTCGCGGCGGAGAGCGGGGGGGGGCGGTGGCGCCAACTTGGGGGGATCATCTAGCGGCCGGTTCCGCATCCAATCCCGCGTGCTGGTCCACCGTCCCGCCCCTCTCCCCCCCCTCCCTTCTCTGCCCCTCCCTGCCGCGGAGGTTTGGTTGTGGTCCGGACCATGTCCGTCTTCGCCTCTGTCTGAACTGCCCCTCGCCGAGAGCCTTCCGGAGGGCGCCCGGAATACGAAACTCTGGGAGCTCGCATGCTCTGACGCGGCTTCAGATGCACGCCGGGGAAAGGATTGATGCCGCGGGCCCAGAGGCCCGGAACCGTCCGCAAGGTGCGGATCGGTTCATTTTCCCGGTTGCGGATAAGAGCGAGGGGGAACGTGCCCGTGGACAGCGTAAGAAAGACAGGATTTGGCACGAGTTTGTTTTCAGAGGGCCGTCTGATTAATGCCTTATCCCGCCCAAGGAGTTCAGGCCGCGGTACGTGGAAGAGCTGCACCCACGTGTCCGACGCGTGATTGGACACCTGCACCTGCCACTGCTGGAAGCACTCCTCCAGACCATAGGGTACACGGAAGACGCTGAATACATGAAGTCGTTAATGCAGGGGCGCCCGATGCTCGGCACAGGCATGCTGACTACAGGGTTGTATCCGCCACAGCAATCCCGGGCGTTGACATCGTTGACCGATTGGGCGGCGAACCCACGGGACCGGAATCTAGAGATGATACGGTCGGTGAAAGCAAATCGCGATCCGGAGCTTGACAAGAAAGTCTGGGACAAGGTCCGGAAAGAAGTCCAGCGAGGATACGCCACCATCCGCGACCTCGACGAATTCGACTTGCACGAAGTTTGCTTCACTCCACGATTCCCCAAGTGGGAGCTGAAGGAGACTGGCGAGTGGACGGCCCGACCCATCAGCGACTTCAAGCGCTCGGGCGGGAACGACACAGTCGACTTGGCTCAGCGGTATACCCCAGAGGACTTGGTCCAGCTGTGGGCCGTCACGAGATGGTGGAAAGAAACGTTCGGCGACCACGTGCCGCTCATGGGATACCGAATGGACTACGAGATGGCTTTCCGCCAGAGGCCAAAAGACCCAGACCAAACGCATCTAACCTTGGAGATTGTGTGGGACCCACACGAACAAAAGGTCCGAGTGGTAGACGTAGACGGACAGCCGTTCGGTGGCGCGCTGTCGCAATTCAACTACGTCCGGGACCCTGCCGCCATGGTGGCGATCGGCAGATCCATGCTGATGCTGGCGATCTCCCATTACGCGGACGACGCGTGGGGAGTGGAGCCGGCCAGACTAGCACAGCAAGCGCACCTTCTCTGGATTGAGCTGAACACCCTGGTGGGGTGGCGCATCGACATGGAGAAAAGCCCACCGCCAGCTGATCCATTCAAGCTGTTGGGAGGCCTGCGTTACCTTGGCGCGGGGGAGCCCCATAGTTGCCTCCACCCAGCCAAATTGCAGGCGATCCTCGCTCGGATACACGGCCACCTCGACAGTGGTTCAATGACGAGCTCGGAGGCAGGCACGCTCCGAGGGCAGCTGGGGTGGGCGCGCTCGTTCCAGTTTGGGCGGTTTGGAGCGGCGGCGCTCCGTCCCCTCGCAGAGCGACAACACAACAAGCAACACCTGCGACTCAACCCAGCGCTGCGGGCATCCCTGCTGTTCTGGGCACGCGTGCTCAAAATCGCTGGAGGGAAACCGATCCCGTACTCGCCGGAACGCATGGACCTTCACATCATCGTGACGGATGGTGAAGGAACCGGCTGGGTGGCGGCGGGCTGGTGGCGGCCCCGACAGAGCGATTGGGCGCCACGGGTCACTCGCGCCAGGGTGCCGCCGGAGTGGCGGGAGGCGTGGAAGCAGGGCAGCAAAGACATCGACATCAACGAGATCGAGGCAGTAGGACCCATGCTGGCGATGAACACATGGCCAGAGCTCCGAGGGGGCATGGTGCTGGCCTTCATCGGCAACGAGACAGCCAAGAGCACGCTCATCAAAGGCAACAGCTCAGTGACGTCCCTCAATGTGATCACGCACCGGACATGGGAAATGTTCCGCGAGAGAGAGCTGCGCGCCTGGATTGAGCGGGTGACGAGTGAAGATAACCCCATTGACAAAGCGTCGCGGGGAGACGTGACCGACCGCTACCGGCAGGGATGGACAGCCCACCAAGGGGTGTGGCCAGACATCACTGACTGGGACCTTGTACGCTAGCCTCCTCGAGCGGGCTCGGGGGGAGGCCTGCCTTCCTTCCCCCGCTTGGGAGAGGACCTGCTGAAGCCAACGGAAGAATCATCATCCACCTATCCTCATCAATCTTGGGCGCAATAAAATGAACAGCTGATAAGGAGAGTGGGGTGGGGAATGCAGAAACCGAAACTCGAAACTGATTTCCCAATTGGGGGCACGACGTGCCCACGCCTTCAAGGTTTGGATCACCACCGCCGCAGAGGAGACTTAAAACCATGTTTTAGCCAGGCTTGGAACATGTTCCTACTGTTTGCGCACATGGTTCACTCAATGATATGACTGTTGGGGTGTCCACTGTCATGACTGTTGGGGTGTCCACTGTCATGGAGGAGGAGGAGGAGGAGGAGGAGGAGGAACAGGAGGAGGAGGAGGAGGAGGAGAAGGAGGAGCGGGGGGAGGAGGAGGAGGAGGAGGGAGAGGAGGAGGAGGAGGAGGAGGAGGAGGAGGAGGAAAAGGAAATGGAGGAGGAGGAGGGGGAGGAGGAGGAGGAGGAGGAGGAGGAGGAGGAGAGGAGTGGGAGGTGGAGGGGGAGGGCAAGGGGAAGGGGGAGGAGGAGGGGGAGGAAGAGGAGAAGGAGGAGGAGGAGGAGAAGGAGGGGGAGCAGGAGGAGGAGGAGGAGGAGGAGGAGGAGGAGGAGGAGGAGGAGGATGTCATCCGCAACTGCAGCAGGGCCGCTCGCAGGCCTGCGCGAGTGCCGCGGGGCCGGCTGGCCAGGCAGGCGCGGGTGGCACGCGCGGACCAGCCTGCCTCCGCCGCCCTCCGCAGCCTCCGCGCGGGCGGCGACCTCGCCGTGCGGTCCATGGGCGCCCCTCGAGGATCCTCGGAGCTCGAGGATTTTGCTGCGGGGCCCGAGGATCGGAGTCCGATCTGGCTCGAGGATTTGGAGCTCGAGGATTCGGAGCTCGAGGAGTTGGCTCGAGGCTCGAGGATTTGGCTGCGAGGCTCGAGGTCCCTTCCGCTCGCGCTGGCGAGGACGACGACGGGGGGGCGAAGGAGGAGCAGGGGACGTGGGAGGAGGAGGTGGGGGAGGGACCCGACGAGGCGGGAGAGGAGGCTCAGGCAGGCCTCAGAAACGCACCACAATCAGTCGGGGGCACGCCGGATCGCTCTCGGGGCGTTCCATGGGACGTCGGGAGGCAGCCACGGCGCCGGATGCGTTCCCCAGAACGGATGGACGTCAGAGATCCCCGACCTACCCCGACCCGACGTTGTCCTGAGGGATGGGGTCCTGAGGGTACGAGGGGGTCCAAGAGTGGATTCACGTTAATTGAGGCACCTCGACCCCATCCCTCAGGACCCCATCTTTGAAGCCATCTTGAGTTTCTGGTTTCGTCTTAGGGGAGGAGAGGAGAGAGGGCACGGAACACAAACCAGAAGGGCCAGCGCAGACCGCCGCGGCCGCAGGTTCTTCGACAAGCTGCAGGCCACGATAGAGAAGTTCACGCGGAAGGTCGGGCAGCAGATCGCCGACGGCAAGCTCACTCGGAAGGCCCTGCGGGTGGCCGTTATTTTCTAGGCTTGCGCCCGCCAGGTTTGGGCCCGAAGTCGTTTTCACTAAACCACGTTTTACTAAAGGGAGGTCTGTCCATCCCCGAGAAGAAACTGCACACGCAAACATCTGCGGTCAGCTGGCGGCACGGCCCGGGCGCGCAGGGTTCCAGGGCTCCCGTGGCATCCTTTCCCCCTCGGGCCCGTCCTCGGCCGCTTCCGCTGGCGGCGCCCCCCCGCCCGCAGAGCGTCGGCCAGAGCCCCAAAATCATCAGGGGTAGCTCGGGTCAGGGCTAACTCGGGTTCGTTTTTCGGGATTCCGAACCCGATTTACCCCGGACCCGAGTTACCCCGGATAACTCGGGCGCTCAAGTCGGCAAGACTTCTTCCAGGGCCCCTGCATCCTTCTCGCGCGTCCTCCCTGTGCGGGCTGACTGCGGAGCGACCCCCGACGGAGTCGACGCGGGTGGGGGGGGGGGGGCCTGGCATCAAGTCGGGCCTGTCCCTTTACAGGGGGAGGAAAATTTCAGAATAGTCCAGAAATGGTCTGGGGACCATTGTTTGGCCATTTGTTTGCAATCTTGGAGTATGTTGGGTTTTTTTTATTGTTCGTCGAAAATCCCCCTGTAGGGGGACACGCCCGACTTAAGCCTGGCACCGAAGGGGGGTGGGCGGCGAGGGGCCCCATCCTCGGCCACGCAGGAGGGGAGAGGGCGCAAAGCCCCCCCCCGGTCACGCAAGGGGGGGGGGACAGTAATCTTACGTCGGGCGTGTCCCCCTACAGGGGGATTTTCGACGATACATACACACATATACATATATATATATATGCATGTATATATATATATGTTTATATACATTCATACATACATATATATACATATACACAAGACTGCATTGGCGCTGCGCTCCATGCACCTTGGTCCTGTGGGTTCCGCACGCAAGCCGAATGCGTGCGTGCGTACATGTACACACGCGCACGCGCACACACGTTCCGTAGATTAATTATATATATGTCTAGGTGTATACACTATACTTACATTTTTGCATGTGTGTATACAGCGTACATATGTACATAGACATTCATGTGTGTAAGGGTATGGACCTGCATATGCAACTCGTACGTGCTTTGTCGTTGCACGCCCATGTGTATATATATATATATATATATATATATATATGTATGTCTGGAACTATGTATTCGCATACACATGCGTATCTCAGGCGGTAGTGGCCTGACCAGTTGCTCAGGGCATCTCGCAACTGAAAGGTGCGAGGGTCTCAGGCGAAAATGGCCAGATGACCATGGGACAATGCATCGCCGAGGTCAGTGTGCGAAGATGTCTCAAGCGAAAATGGCCTGAACACTTACGCTCAGGACATACCGGAACTCAGAGTTGCGAGGATATCTCAAGCGAAATCGGCCTGAACACCTCAGCTCAGGACAGACCGGAACTCAGTGACGCGAGGATGTCTCAAACGAAAGTGGCGGAATACCATGGGGCAGGGCATCTCGGAACCCAGAGCTGCGAGAACGTTTCTAGCGAAAATGGCCCGAACACCTCAGCTCAAGGAGCCCTGGAACGTAGAGTTGCGAGAAAGTCTCAAAGTGGAAGTGGCTGGACCACCTTGGGGCAGGGCTTCTCCGAGGTCAGAGTTCGGAGGAGGTCTCAGGCCACAGTGGTCTGATTTCCTCAGCTCAGGGCACCTCGGAACCGAAAGTTGCGAGGATGGCTCTGGCGAAAGTGACCAGAACACCGCATCTTAGGACATCCCTGGACGCAGAGTTGCGAGGGTCTCGCATGCAGAAGTGGCCGGACCACCTTGGGGTAGAGCACCTCCGAGGTCAGAGTGTCGAGGATGTCTTAGGCGCAACTGGCCCGAGCACTATGGGGCGGGGCATCTCCGAAGTCAGCCTTGCGAGGAAGTCTGCAGCGAAGAGTGGTCTGAACACCTCAGCTCAGGGCATCCCGAAATCCAGAGTTGCGAGAAGTCGCAGGCGAAAGTAGGCTAACCACCATGGTGCAGGGCACCTCCGAAGTCAGACTTGCGAGACTGTCTCAGGCGAAATTGGCCTGAGCACCTCAGGCCAGGGCGTCTCGGACTCCAGAGTTGCGATGGTGTCTCAGGCGAAAATGGCGGGACCACTGCGAGGCAAAGCGTTTCCGAGGTGGGAGTTGTGAGCATACCCGGGCGAAGCGGATCTCACGACTCCCTCTTCCTCCTCCCCCTCCTCGTTATTTGTCTGGGTGATACTCGCCACTCGTCCTCCGCTTTCCCCTTGCGTATGATTCCCTCTTCCCGTTTCTTCATTTTCTTATTCGCGTTCTCCTGGTCCACATTCTCTTCCTCCTCCTCTCCTCATCCTCCTCCTGAGTTGCCAGCCGGGCCGGGCCGAGCAAAGCTGGCGGGCTGGCTGAAACGGGGACGACGACGATAACAACGACGATTACGACAACGAACGACGACGACGACGACGAGGTCGAAAAGGACGACGACGACGACGACGACGACGTGTGGACGGCTGGCGCCCTCCCGGGGCGCCCCTCCCGGCCACGACGACGACGACGACGACGACGACGACGACGACGACGACGGCGACGACGGCGACGACGAGGACGAATTGGTGTAATTGGTGTTTTCGGGGCCCTCGTGGGCCGTTTGGGCGCCTTCATGGGCCGTCCTGGGGCCTTCTTGGGCCGTCTTGGGGAGCTTGGGCCCGCTGGGCCCCCTTTGGACCCATCTTGGGCACTTCCGGGGACCTCCCATGGCCCTTGTGGGTCTGTGCTGGGAGACCTTGGGGGGCTTCTTGGGTCCGTTATGGGCTGTCTTGGGGCTCTCTTGGGCGATCGTGGGGCCCGGCTCGGCCGTCTTGAAGCTTTCTTTGGGGCCTTGTGGGGCGTCTTGAGGCGATCTCGGGGGCTTTGAAGCCGTCTTGAAAGCTGATGAAATCCGAAAGGCGAATAAGCTAAGATTGTAAATTTTACGAAGGGAATGGGACGATTTTTGTGTTTTGAAGGCCCCTTGAAAAGCTTTTTGGGGTGCCTTGGGGGTCTTTTGGGCCGTCCGGAAGCAATTGGAGTTCCTCTTGGAGCGTTCTTGTGCTGTCTGGGGCCTCCCTTGAGCCTTTCTGATGACCCCTCTGATCGCTCGTGGTCTGCTGGCAAGGCGTTTGTGGAGACCCAGAAAGCCGGGTGACCTTTTCCAAGGACGTCCAAGGGAGCCCGAGAACCCCAGATCCCAGGGATCAATTTTTTTTCGGGGGGGGTGATGGTTTCCCCCCCCCGGGCTTGCAAAGTATAGGAAGAGGAATATATGTGTATATATACATATATTTACACATTTATATATATATGTGTATATATATACACACATAAACCCAAAAATACACCGAATGGTCAAAACAATCGTAGAAAATAGTCCCCAGAGTATTTTTTGCTATTTTGGAATATTTTTGAATATTATTTCTTTTTATCTCGCTGTAGGGGGACACGCCCGAACTAACAGTAATCGGGCGTCGCGTAATGGTTCTAGGCCTCCCAGATGGCGTCAGAGAGCAGGATGGGGTCGGAGGATCGCACCCCATCATCGATGCAGCGGCGATGCGGCTCGATGTGGAGCCTGATTTTCTCTACGCTGGCGTTTCCGATTCATCGTCGACGTCGCCGACGCATCGACAATGCCTCGCCGGTGCATCGGCGATGCGGCGCGGTCCTCCGACCCCTCTCTAGGAGGCCTCTGATGGTGGAGCGATACATGGGCGGGCAGCGAGGGCTGCATCATCATCGAGCGTCCTTATCATACGGGTTGTCTATAGGCCTTCAGAGTTCCGCACGGTTTTTTTGGGGGGGGACCTGCGCTTCAAGCCCCCCAAGGCGGCGCCTCTCCGGTGCCCCGTACCCCGGGCGGGCTCCCCGCGGTCCACTGAGATTTTTTTGTGTCTGCTGTGAGCAGGATGGAAAGAAGCGCACAGACACCAACCAGCGTCGATTCTCAGGAGAGCAGTTAGGGGGATCGTTTTCTTAGTCATTGTGTTGCCGATCGGCGCGGGCCCTCGCACCACCCCTTCCCCCCACCCATGGAGTAGATCTTGGCTGTTTCGGGCGCCTGTTCCAAGCAGATGGGGTCTCACCCGTAGGACGCACTGCTTCAAACAGTCGCACTGAGCAGAGGTCCGGAGCCAGACCCCCTCCCATTCCCCCCCTTCCGCCCAATGTCGAAACGCCGAACAAGAAAGCGCTCACATTAGAACATCTGGCAACAAAAGGTGGAGGGAAGACGAGACTAGAAAACATGTAGAAGAATTTGGGGATTCGGGGATATGTGCCTATTGTCTATTGTTGTTTGTTTGTGTGTGTGTGTTTGTTTGCTTGTGTGTGTGCGTGTCCCTGGGCCCCTTCGTTTATGCAGTTTCTGGCTCCTCCATTGTGGGGGGCTGGCTGATGGGCAGACTCTCTGAGCCCCCCCGGTCGTCCTCGACCCCGTCCTCGTGATTCTGATCGGCCAGGGCTATTCTCTGGATGATGAGCTCTCGCCGCCATCACGGGTCAACAATTGCTGCCAGGACGAAGCATTTGCACCTACCTTGTGGCACTTGCGGGTAAACGTCGGGAGGGCGGGGCTCGAGCGCCAATGCAAGGAAGCCCGCCGCAGGCGCCGAGAACGAGGGTCATTCCCGAAGCTATCAGCCCGATGCAGGCGCAGATATCCTTGCACGACGCTGTGGGTGGGTCGCGGGGCGGGGCGTCGGCTGGCAGCGCGGCCCGAAGCTAAGCGTGAAGGAGCCGCGCGCAGGCGCCAACCTGTTCCCCTGCGCAGCCGTAGCGCCACAGGCGGCAGCCTTTTGCCGATGCAGTGCGGGTGGGTCGTAGGGCGGGTCGCGGGGTTGGTCGCGGGGAGGGTCGCGGCGTGGGTCGCCGGGCGCGCCGCGGGGTGGGTTGCAGGATAGGTCGCGGTTGGTCGCGGGACGAAGATGACGAACAGCAAGAGCATGAAGAACAGCAGCAGCGAACCGCATCGTAGAAGCCCGCTACAGCCAGGCACCCAGGGACCGTGGACGGCCTGGGCCCCCCATCTTCTTCAACATCACCGCCTCCTCAGAAGTCCCCCCCTCGTCGCTCTCCGCGCTGAGAGGTCCTGATGAACGAGTTCAGCAAGGAGTACGCTCGGCAGAACGAGATGCTCGCCGACCCGAACTTCATCAGGCCGCATCCGCCGAGCTCGCCCGGGCCGGCCCTGCCCCCTGCGTCGCCCTGGCCCCCGCACGCACGGTGCGGTGTCGGCGCTCGCTTGCCCGCCAACCCCGCGTCGCCCCGTGCCGCCCGCAGCGTCAGGCGTGACACATCAGGCCAGTTGAGTCGGGCACGTCCCTCTACAGGAGGAGTACTCAAACACAGTAAAGCACATGATCCGGGGGCGATTGTTTGATCGCATTTTTTTGTTGACCATTTGGGGGGCAATGTTTGAGCACGTTCTTTCTTTTTCGCCCAAGGTCCTCCTGTGGGAGGACAGGCCCGATAAAACAGGGCTAGGATCGGGATAAATCGCTCCAGAGCGTTCCGGAGCGCTCTCAGAGCGTTCCGGAACGCTCTGGAGCGGCCGCGGCGCCCAATACATCTTTTAAACCCGCCGATTCTCAGTCCCGATCCGATTTTGTCCTGACCTTCGCGTCGCTTTACCTGTGTGAGGACAGGCCCGACTCACGGCGGGGGGGGGGGACAGGCGCGGGGCGGGCGCCTCGACGCCCCCAGGGGCCGCTGGCCTGCCGAAGGGGGGGGGCCCGCGGCCCGCGCCCCGCCCCGGGGAGGCGTCTCGCTGCCGAGGGCCCCCGAGCCCGAGCCAGCGGCGCTGGCGCCGGGGCCGTGCGAGATTTTTTTCGCGATCGGGGGCCCGTCCCAGGCCGATCGGCGACGCATCGCGGTTCCAGGTCTTACCAGCCTGGCACGTATCCCTATCCCTGTGCTGGGCATCTCCTCATCACGATGCCAATCTCAGGGATTCCCTCGTTCTGTGAGGGCGCATCCCTAAGATTGTCATCGCCTTTGGGCGTGCCAATCTTGGGGATAGGGACAAGTTCGAGGCTGGTAAAGGTCGACGTTTCCACCCCCCCCCCCCCTGAGTCGGCCGCCGCGTGTCGTGCCCATTCAGTCCTGCGGAGCTCTGGTGTCAGTTGCCCCGCGGAGGTTTTTGCCCCGCCGGGGCCGTGCGAGTTCTTTTTTTCGCGATCGGGGGCCCGTCGCAGGGCGATCGGCGACGCCTCGCGGTTCCAGGTCGACGTTTCCTCCCCCCCCCCCCTGAGTCGGCCCCCGCGTTTCGTTCCCATTCAGTCCTGCGGAGCTTTGGTGTCAGTTGCCCCGCGGAGGTTTTTGCCCCGCCGGGGCCGTGCGAGTTTTTTTTCGCGATCGGGGGCCCGTCCCAGGGCGATCGGCGACGCCTCGCGGTTCCAGGTCTTACCAGCCTGTTCCTCCCTCCCTTCCTACAGTCGGGGCCTTGACCTAAGGAGCCCAAAATAAGAAACGAGGCCCCTTTTTTCCATAAGTTAAACTTCGATTGCCGATCGAAAACATAAGGAACACCTGAGGCAAGTTGCGGAACACTTACGGAACGCGGAGCCCCTCCCCAACGAACAGTGTTCCTTCTTCAGGGCTCCGACTGTACTCAATGTTCCTGCTCGCCGCCGAAAGCCGCAGTCCCAACAAAATCAGCGTTCCCGCTGGAGACTTCGTTCTGTTTTGCGCTGGACTGGCGCCCTGCTCTCTCCAGCATTGGCGCCGCTTCCAGCAGTAACAGCGGCCCTGCTCGAGACTTCCTCCCTTCCTATTCAGGGCCAGGTCCTTGCCTCGCCGCCGACAGTCCTTATTCACCAGCCTGGCACATATCCCTATCCCTCCCTGTGCTGGGCATCTCCTCATCACGATGCCAATCTCAGGGATTCCCTCATTCTGTGAGGGCGCATCCCTAAGATTGGCATCGCCTCTTGGCGTGCCAATCTTGGGGATAGGGACAAGTTCGAGGCTGGTAAAGGTCGATGTTTCCCCCCCCTGAGTCGGCCCCCGCGTTTCGTTCCCATGCAGTCCTTCGGAGCCTTGGTGTCAGTTGCCCCGCGGAGGTTTTCTCTACAGGTGAGCGGCGCAGAGAAGCGGGTTCGCCTGCGCCGGCACTTGCGCGCAAGTTGCCCGCGTAGGGTCGCACGTCGGTGCCATCGTGTACAATATGGCGTGCCGCGCTGGCTGCCTGCGTAAGCCGCGGCGTGAGGTCGCCATGCCATCTCGCGTGCGACCCATCGCTTTTATCGGCGGCGCGCCCGGGGGGGGGAAGTGAGAAAAGGGCGGACCTTCTTATAGAAGGCTCGGGAGTCCCCCGGCCTACTGAAAAGCTTCCTAAGCCTCCTCCGAAGACGGAGAAGACCTCTCAGGAGGCGCGAGGGCTCCTGAGACCTCCCGCCGCCTCCCGAGAGGGCCTCCTCCTCGTCTCCCCCCCCCTCGCGCGTCGCCGAGTTTGTTCGCCCAAGGGCTCCGACCCAGTTGCCCAGCTGCCCTGTGCCCTTCCAGCCCGACGCCCCTGGAGAGGCCCAGAGGGGCCCTGCCGTGCCCGCGCGGTGCCGTGCCTGCTGCGGCTGGCCCCGGCCCGCCCCATTCATAGCCATTGCGCCAGCGCTGCTGGTGGCTCCTGCTTGTTTCGGGCCGGACGAAAAGGGGGGGATAGGGAAAGGGGGGGTTTACGAAATTTGCTGCATGCAGCTGGTTTCGGCTCCACCGAGGGGCCCAGTCCTCGATACATGACCGCCTCCGGCGCCGGGAGGCGCCGGGAAAATCAGCTCTACGTGAGCTGATTCTCACCCCCCCCCCTTTGCTATCCCCCCCCTTCGCCCGGCCAGCGCCCGCCGGCCCAGCTGCCGTGCCGGCGATGTGGGTGGCTTCGAAGAGAAAGACACACACAGACACACACACACACACACACCAAACAAACAAAACGCCATAAGCATACATTGTTTGGAGCTCCGCCCGGGTTCCTCGGATCCGGGTTCGGCGGCGCCTCTGGCGCAGCCCCTGGCGCGCTCCGCGCGCCAGGGAGGGGGTCCAGCGCGGTTCTTCGAAATATTACGTATGTTTAATGAAAAGGAAACGATAGAACAAAAATCCCCCGCCCCCGGACCCCCCAAAATGATTGAGTGGGGCGGACTAATTGAATTCAGCCGCCAGAGGCTGTTTTTTTAATCGTCCGCCCCCCCGCGTTTGCTTTTGCCCCTTTGGGGGAACTGATTTACTATTCGTCCTCCTTTGCTCGCTTGATCACCCGCGGCCGCGGGGGGAGGATTGCGGATGGGGGACGGGGTAATTAGGGAGTAGTTGAGGGCAGGGGTTTTCGAAGAGGCGCTTGATCACCCTCGTGCTTGCGGACGGCCGCCGGTCGTCCTTGCGGACGGCCGCGGCGATTGGGAGGTGGGGGATGAGGAGGAGGAGGAGGAAGAGGAGGAGGGGGGAGGACAATCTAGGTGCGCTCGCGTCATATATGACAGCCTACCCCTCCCTCCCATCCCTTACCATGGCGTAGATCACCTCTTTACTCGCACAGTCGGATGTCGAGCAGGGCAATGATCCCGAAAGGGTACGCGATGCATTGTAGAGCACGGCGTGGCATGGCGTTGAAGAACACCGCGAAGTGTAGTATGTCACAGCATGGCGTGGCGTGGCGTAGTGAATAATTGCATCACAGATCTTTGCAACGCAAAGCATGGCATCTCACAGCGGCCCCGAACATAACATTGCATAGCATGGCGTTGAAGAGCAAAGCGTATCATGGCAGAACACGACGTGGCACGTAAGCACTTCTCCTCCTCCTTCTCCTCCTCCTCCTCCTCCTCCTCCTCCTCCTCTTAATTATTCTTCCTCCTCCTCAATTGCGAGGACGTCCGAGCGGGAACCGCCCCGTGGTTCATTATCTCCATATCCTGCTTGCGCTCTCCTTGCCACACGCGCATTCATCGTTTCCCTGGGTGCCGCCACGAGGAACGAGGGGTGCATCGAACGAGTAAGGGCTCTTGGCTCTTTTACGACGCTTCCCTCAGGCTCAGATCGCGAGAAGGGAGGGGCGGGCGAGGGTCTGTTGGTTTCCCTGAACAGCTGTCCCCTTCGTCGCCGCAGACGGTCCGCCTGCTTTGCCTTTCTACTAGGAGGAGGAAGAGGAGGAGGAGAAGGAGGAAGAGGAGGAGGAGGAGGAGGAGGAGGAGGAAAAGGAGGAGGAAAAGGAGGAGGAAGAGGAGGACGAGGACGAGGAGGAGGCGGAGGAGGAGGAGGAAGAGGACGAGCTCGCCCTGAAAAAGTCACCCCGTCAATCCCCCTGGCCCCCGCGCCCTGGATCGCCCCCCCGTCCCCCCCCCCCCCCCTTGGCGTTCCAGGCGACCCGGAATTGTCAGCCCCCCGTCTGCCTGCCCTGCCCTCCCGCTATTGCGGGGGCGAGGGGGCCCGCGAAACAATTGTTTAAATCGTCCGCCCCCGAACGTTCATTCCCCTCCATTATGTCGTGTCTTTTTTTTTCCACTTTTGCGTGGTAGCCAGCGCCTGCTGGCCCAGCTGTCATGCCGGCGTTGTGGGTGGTTGCCAATTTGCCTGGCTGCTCCCGGCGAGCCTCGGCTGGCCCAGCTCGCTCGCACGCACGACGGTTTTCAGGAGGGGGAACAACACAGACACATTTTATCGTCGATCCCCCCGAAAATAAGGGAACATATGGGAATTGGGCGGGAAGATCGAAATCCAAGAAATATGGGAAAATATGGGGAATCCTTTTTCCTTGGGCCCCTTGAAGGTTTGGATGTCTGCCCGTTTGCCTGCCCAGTTGCTCGCCTGCGTGCGCGCGCGCTTGCCTGCCAGCGTGGCTGCCTCCAGGACTGCGTGCGTTGTGTTTGCGCGGTTGCGTTCAGGAGGAAAAAATCACACAGACACACTGAATCCTCGATTCCCCGGAAAAATATGGGAAATATGGGATGTGGTGGGGAAAACAGAAACCGAGAACATATGGGAAAATATGGGAAATCTGGCTATTGGTGTGTATTTATTTGTGTGTCCCAGTTCCCCTTCATGCTTGTACGCCTGCCCCGACGACCTCGGCGTCCAGACGTTGGTACCCAGACGCGCGGTTTGTTTTGTGTTGCGATGGGCAATGCGCCTATGATCTTCTGGACGTACACAGATGTGTATGTAGACCA